CTCGCAGAAGGTAGACATCATAATCTACCTTACGGTAACTGTCGCAAGCTAGGTCAGCTGTCTGATTTGCAAAGGCCAAGCCCTCATGACCAAACCGGTCCCAAATAGTCTCTCCTTTCCCGCCTTCTGACCAGCCACCTTCAGTCTTAAAGGATACGCTGGAGGTGGCCCACTGGAAGCCAGAGGGGAATGATTTCTGAAGGAAAAGATCTCGTTCTGCTGTGGTCTGGGACTTAAATTTATCCCACACACTCTGATAACTGTTTCTTAACCCTGTCATCTTTGTGTGGTGTGAAATGCCATGACTTTTGGAAAAAGAGAGACATGAAAAATATAAGCAAATTTTTAATCAAATAAGAAAAAAAAAACAGAATTCCAGTACATATAAATCAGAAAATGAACTCTTACTTGACAAGAGCATCTTCCGTGTCCAGCTTGCCTAACATGTCCTTCATGTCACATCCCACAATATTCAGGCCATTGTCCATCAAGACTGTGTTGTGTTCAAGAAATATGAATTGTTTTAAGTTCAGTTCTGATATAGTTCTGATATATGTTATTGTAACAATATGTACTCACTATTACTGAAAAAACATCGTAAGTGTGTGCTAAGTCTATGGGTGCCTTATATAACATCACTGGCCCATAACAAGAAGATTTCATGACATGATAACACTCCCAAGATTTAGAACTTTATCTTAATGTATTCTGTTTGGTTAACAACACCAGAGGATTTGCCCAGATGTTGTGGCCTTTGGTTTTTCTTTATTCTGCCATCCCGTAATATCTTCAGATAGCTGTTTTACAACGCCATTTTTTGACAGGATGTACACTGTACACATTATTAAGTGATGTTATATTCACAGAAACATTTAACATTACATGTATGAAGTATACATATTCATTTGGTATGTTCTTGGTAACTGGTTTATTAGGCACCATGAGTACAAATTTCATGTAGACAAAAACAAAATCTCTACTAAGACAGCCACTGGAAAGTATTGTTTCTTTTATATATACAGCTGCACATTCATAAAATGAGGTATTGTTCTCATGTCTATTATGGGAAATTAGTTTTAATTAATTATTAATATCTTATATTTGCAAAGTCAAAAAGCTGTCATGACATTTACCATTTAGGAAATCTCCAAGAAGCTGGTAATCATTGGGAGAACAATCATGAGCGCTCATCTTGTAAATCAGGATAGGCAAGTTCCTGCTCAAAATCTACAACATAAAATGAAACATATGTAGCTTTGCTGTATCAGCAAAATGTTAAATGCAACATTTAAATAAACATCTTATAATTTTTATTGTACCTGTAAGTTCCTCAGTTCATTTTCAAACTCTGAAGAGATGGCACAGTTGTAGTCAATGTGCACTGACAAGAAGTCCATCTGTTCCAAGCAGGAGATACACAACATCAGGTTGTCACATCATTCTGAGATGGGACTTTTTTGAACCATTACTTCATCATTTTTTAGAAATTTTAAGGTGATTAAAGTGACTTATTCTTTGTTTTCATTGGCATCATTGAAATAAATTGAATGTCACGGTTCAGGGTCAGTATGACCAAGCATTTTGAGTTTCTTGTGTTTTGGTAATATTTTGTAGTATGGTTTATGTTCTGATTCACTGGTAGTCTTAGTTATGTTGTTTTGAGTGTCCTGTAGTCCCTGTTTAACTCCTTGTTTGGATTCTCTCTTGAGTCTTGTTTATTTGTTAGGTTCTCTGTGTATTTTATATTTCCTAGCCCAGTATAGGGTTAGGGTTACTCTTGACTTATTCTGTATTTGTTGTCTAGGTCTTGCCTCTGTTTGGTCTGTTGTGTTTCCACGTCATAGTGTCTAGTCTGCGTCTTTGTGAACTGTCTCATGTTTCCTGTTTTACTTTGACAGTCCCTTGTCTCTTGTCAGTGTTTCTACTTTTGCTTCCCCTTGGTCGCGCCATGTTTGCTGACAAGACACAGCTGTGCTCTCCTCCTGTGTCTCATTCCTTCGTTATCCTTCAGTGTATTTAAGCCCTGTGTTTCTCTCTGTCAGTGTTGCGTTGTACCGTCACCGTGCTGTGTGGTTTTTCTCCTCTGTGTTCTTGAGGAAATTGTAATTCCCACTCCTTGTTTATTAGTGTTTCTTAGTTTTTAGTTTGTGTTTCTTAGTTTTTAGATTCAAGCGTGTCCAGTTTATTTCTAGTTTTCTAGTTTGAGGTTTTGGTCCTGAAATTGGGTCCTACATCCTGCCTACCACACAGCACTCAACATAACATAAAAAACCAAATTTGTCATATTCTAAACAAGGCAAAAAACAAACAAACACAAAGTATATAATTATATGACCAATCCATTAAAAATCCATATAACAACAGTCAGTAGTTCCAGATTATGAGAAAATGATTAAAATTTCCATTGGGAATAATTAACCTCAGGTACGTTAGTGCTGCTGTTCTTGTTGTTGAATGCCTTCAACAAAACCAAAATAAAAAGAATAAAATATTAAAAAATTGGATCAAATAATTATTTAAATGGCTTGAAATAATTTTATAACAAGGGAACAATCCTCTACAAGAAGCAACCCCCGCAAAAACAGCCAGTTAACGTGCAATTTATGCACGTTTACTGGAATGGAAATAAAGTTTTGTCATGAGACAAATGTAAGATTTCATTGTTTGGCCACAGTAAAAATCGCCTGTGTGATACATGCAAGCCTTTTAATGTGGACTGATTCATTTACAGACTTTATGTTATCAATGAGTGGTAAACATCATGTAAGCGAACATCTGTGGGGACGTTCACTGGAATATTCATCCTAAGCAGATAAGCAAATTCCCCAGTGAATTGCTTAAAAAGCTGAATTTGAGGTTTGTAACATTTTTGAAAATATTTAAAAACAAGCTTTAAATGCAAGAAAATCTTTAAAGGGGATATTTGTCAATTCTGAGGCCGTGGAAGAATTTTGTTTCTCATATATTTGGTGAGTAAATAACTGGAGCTTATTGTAAATATAAAATATTTCAGTGCCGATTATCAAAATAATATCAACAACCGAAAATGAAAATCATGCAAGGAGGTGAAATTCTGACTATACATATATTATTGTATAGATTATGCATCTATAAAAGAAAAGAAAAAACTTACACTTGTTGAAGCTTTAATGTCGGAGAGAGAAGCCACATCTTTAGTTTTTAGTCCAAGTGACAGACGTCTGCCTGTAAATATGCAAGCATGAAAGGCACTTTTACTGTTTGGAACTGCTGAACGTGCTGAAAGATTTTATTAACTTAGTTTGGTTATACACTGATGGAAATTTATTTTTACAGGTGATTTCTCAAGACACTTACATATAAATGAAACCTTAAGTAAACTCAAGCCTCAGAGAAATAAGAACAAGTATTGACTAGTAAATAATTCTGAAAAGAATAAATTTAGTCGTGTTCTTTTGTCTTTAATCTTCACTTTTTCCTGTTAATTTGACTCACCTTTGTCAGTAAAGTGCTGATGGTACATCTGGTAAATGTTCTTGTTGAGTTGAAGGATGTTCTGCAGAAAACTGGGAGCATGTGCAGGCTGCCCGTCATGCCAAACACCATCCAGTGTCACCCATGAGTGTGCAAGTGGTGCAAACTCTTGGAAGGCAAACTCTGCATACTGCTGAAACATCTGTGCCAGCTCCTGGCTCTCCCAGCCTCCATACCTTGATTGCAGAGACTCTGGAACTGTCCATCCATGAAGGATGACCAGAGGCTGAAGACCTGCTTCCAGCAGCTGTTTCAGCAGGGTCTGGTAACATCTAACCACAGCCTGCTGGGGCTGGCTGGGGTGGCCTGTTGGAAGAAGTTGAGCCCATGACAGCGGTACTTTGAAGTGGGTCACCCCTCTGCTCTGCAGGTACTCAAAGTACTGCTTAGAGCCAGGAGGAACGGGATGACTGCAGTCAAAGGCATCATTTATGCTTCTGTCTGAGCTTCTGACCACCTGCTTTGTCAGAGGCCCTGCAAGAAGTATGAAGTCCTCTCTTCCATTCACCTCACTGCTCTGACAACCATGGAGACAAAAAATGTTCAGACAAAAGACCCACAACAGCTTCTTCATTGTGGCTCAAAAACAGAACAACTGATATTTTTCGAGTGTAGCCGATCTATTTAACAGCAATATTTTTCCTTTTTATTACATTGTTACACAATTTTTATTCTTGGCACCTCATTTAGTTATCACAAATGTTTTATTGTAGCTTTGAGATATAGCCAGATAGACTCTGGACTGTAGAGATAGCAACTTCCCCGTCTTCTGTTCTTGAGCTCTGATATACTTTTTATTGCTATAGAATCATATCTTAGTCATTAATTTTACTACTGCTATCCAAGGTGCTTAATTTTAGTCTTTTATTTACTTTTGACTTCTGTTGGTTTGTTTTTATGTTTAACATAACATCTTACTGTCTAAGTGTTGCAGAGATGTTGAAAGGTTTGTGTTGTTATAATTATTACCACTCTTATTATTGCTATTATCTGTGAAGGCTTTTTATGTGCAACAAGGTATCAAAAAGATTTATTTGATAAAAGTTTAGTTTTAACGCATATTTATTTACTTTTTATTAATATTAATCATGTAGAATTCATATATAAATTCCCCACTTAGTGAATACCTCAGTCAGCAGAAAGCTAAGATGGATGAGGAGCAAGAAGAGGAACCATCATGGAAGGACAGTCCTCTGGACTGAAAGACAGCACAGAGGCACTAATGATGGCAGCACAGAAACAAAGACCAAGATCGATGGAGGCTGGGGACTACCACACCAGGCAAGACCCCAAGTGCAAGCTGTGTAAAGATGAGCCTGAGATGATCCAGCACATAACAGCAGGGTGCATATATGGAACGCCATAACCAAGTGGCCGGCATAGTAAACAGCAACATCTATACCAAGTATTGCCTGGAAGTCCGGATATCTTCCAGGCCAAGGGAAGGTGATGCCTAACCAACTCAACATAGTAGTAACTAGTAGATGGAGCTATACTGAGCGATATCAACATCAGGAAAAAGGAATATGTGAAGCTTAATAAGTACCAAGAGCTAAGACAAGATGTCGAGGGTGAAGGTAACAGTGGTCCCATTAATAACAGCACTCAGTGCAGTGACCCCCAAGCTGGGCGAGTGGCTCCAACACATCCCAGGAACAACATCCAAGATCTCTGTCCTGAAGAGCGCAGTCTTAGGAACAGCAAAGATACTGCGCAGGACCCTCAAACTCCCAGGCCTCTGGTAAAGGCCCGAGCTTGAAGGACAAAGAATGCCTGCAGGATGAGAGCGGGAATTTTATATATTTCTTACAGACAAAACTGTTATCGCAATTATATTCTTGTCAATGTGAGTCTTTCAAGAATATAATTCTGATAAGAGTTTTGTCTATAAGCAAAGTGCATGCAATATTACTTCTAAACTACAATGTCTAAAGTAAAATGATGCTATCACAATCAATATTCAATTTTTCATACATACATGGCTATATATATATATATATTTAATGTAGGAGAGGGTAATGGGTCATAGGCATTATTTGTAAATAACTTACCATGAATACATTTTGCTTTTTATATATGATACATATTGAGGTTCACTTGACAGTAAGGCAGATGCAAAATGTAAAAGTGAGATCAGGGGTCAAATGTGACATAATATTTTTGTGTCAGCTATAATGTGAGATTTAGATATTTGACACTGAACTATCTCTTAGTCATGCGGCAACAGGTCGAGGCTGCTGGGGTCTGAGCGTTTCTTCTTCACTCACCATTTTTCACTCACTACGTGTTTATACAACACTCTGCATTTAATCATTAGTCATTATTAATCTCTGGCTCTCTTCCACAGTGTCTTTGTCCTGTCACCCCCAACCACTCACAGCAGATGCGCCTGGTTGTGCTGCAGGTTACTTTGTGCTGGAAGGAAGCTTTTCCTTCCCACTGTGATCAAAGCTACTCTGAACTGATGAGACTAAAGTTGAACTTTTTGGAAGGTGTGTGTCCCATCACATCTGGCATCAATGTAACACAGCATTTCTGAAAATGAACATCATACCAATAGTAAAATATGGTGGTGGTAGTGTGATGGTCTGGGTCTGTCTTCCTGCCTGAGGATCTGTAGGACTTGCTGTGGTAAATGAAACCATGAATTCTGCTGTCTAACAAAAAATCCTGAAGGAGAATGTCCGGCCAGATGTTTGCAACCTCAAACTAAAGTGCACTTCAGTTTTACAGCAGCAAAAATGATCCAAAAACAAAGTCCACCTATGACCTGAAGTCCTGACCTGAATCCAATTAAGATGCTGTGGCACGACTTTAAAAAGGCTGTTTAATGCTCTAAAACCCAATTACAACAATTCTGCAAAGATAAGTGGGCCAAAATTCCTCCACAGTGCTGTAAAAGACTCATTGTCAGGTATTGCAAACACTTCTGTGCAGTTGTTGCTACCAAAGGTGGCCCAACCAGTTTAAAGAGAAATCACTTTTTAAAAACAGCATTTTGTGATTCCTTGTGTTTTCTTATTTTTTATTAATATTATTTATATATATATATATTAAATTCGTTTGATGATCTGAAACATTTAAATGTGACAAACATACAAAAATTAGGAAATCAGAAAGGAGCAAAAACTTTTACACACCACTGTAAAAAAAACAAAAAAAAACTAAAGTGATTCTGAACTGTATCCAAATGATTGTCCTAAATGTTGCAAATACAAACAAAGACAGTTGAATTTTAAGCAGAGTTTAAAGATAAAATACATTTTGTGAAAGTTTGACCTTATATGACATTAAAGAAGTGATCTATTTAGACTTATTATCACTTCAGTGTCATGGTCCAGAGTCTGTGACTCCGTGTTTATGTTAAGTTTATTATTATTCTGTGGTTTTGGTTATCTTGGGTTTTTGTACTCTTCTGTTTCACGTTTCATGTGATGATGTCGGTGTCCTCCAGTCTGTGTTTAGTTGGTGTGTGTTGTGTTCAGTCGGTGTGTTTCCTGTTTTACTTTGAAGGTCTCTGTCTGATGTCAGTGTGTTCTGTTTATGTTTCCCCTGCCTTGTCAGCTGTTATGTCTCCCAGGTGTGTTTCCCTCCTGTTCCCCATCCCTTGATTACTGGTGTGTGTATTTATAGTGTGTGTTCCCTCGTCCTTGTTGCTGGTTCGTCTGCTTCCCTCCGTCTGTCTTCCGTGTATTTCCTCGTACCTCCCTGCATCTTCGTTTCTGGCTTGTTTTGTTAGTTTTGCCCCGTTTAGGTTTGCCTGTTTCATGTTCACCCGCGCCATTGCTGTTTGTATTTTCTTTTGTTACTTGCACCAGAGCTGCCGCTTCCTGGGTTCCTAACTAACTCACACGACTTGACCCGGCAACCCGTGACATTCAGAGGAACCTGCTGATTTTGAGAGGCCAGCGGTAACTGTTAGTTACAACATGATGTAACTAACCTTATCTTGCCATGATGTGTCCCATACCACTTGAACTTTGATCTACATATCACTTTTTGTTATATAAAAAATAATCATCATAAATGTTTAATCTGTACGGCTCAAATCAAAAGGTGACACCCTCACCCTAATCAATAAAATTCTGACAAAAGAATGACTGAGAGGTTCAAAACAACCTTGAGATTACCAGCTTGAAAACCAATAAAGCAAAATAACATGTCTTAATTATTCTTTGTGTTTCACTTTTTTAATTTTAATGTCCTAAAGTTTAGAATAACTTAGTATGAAACTGTCTTTGTTTGAGCCAAAACTTAGAATCTTAGAAATCATTACATATCTTTCACACATTGAAAGATTTGTAATGCCCAGTATGCCCGATGGCCAGTCCTGCTATGGTCGTGCATCAGTTAATCCTTGGCACGCGTGCCCAGGGTTGCCGACTCCTGCTCTGGACAATATTAACTTTTAAAGAAATAGTATAAAATTTTCTATATATTCATTCTGTTTTTGTTTTTTTTTTAAACAAACTTCTTTGTTTAGCCTACTGCCTGAAAACAGGACACATGTTTATTTTGATTACACAAACATGTAGGAGTAACTCATGGATAATAGATATTGATTTGTAAATAACTGGTCATGAATAGCTTGAGCATATTAGCTTATTAGCTATGATATTATACTACAGTGCAGCTCATTCTCTGTCTCTTGAGTGGGGTCAGCTTGAAGGAAAGGCAGGATTGTAAAAGTGAGGTCAGAGGTCAAACATGACATGATATTTTTTGCAAACTATAATGTGATTTTAAAATCAATTCATTTTAATTTTATTTTCAGCTGGCTTCCTTTTATACTCTACCTGATTCATGTAAGCATCTGGAATAACCCAAGTTATAAGCAAACATCAAACCGTAATACAACACATGGAAAAAATATATATATTCATAAAAAGTCCTATAAATAATTTAATAACACACACGCTTGAATCAGTCTTCGCCTTCCACAAACAGTCACTTAAATAGTAACCCAAATGTCAAACCTGATAAACCTAATAAAGAATCACCAACCCATGAATGTGTGTTTCTTTTTTTTAATGCACCTTTTTAAATAGCAATCCCTCAAACTAATAAAAATATAGGTAAGGGTAGAGGAATCCCTGGCCTGCATTACAGCCTGGTATAGCAGCCACACCAACACCAACAGCTACGACTGATGAGCGCATGGCCCAGAGGGTCTGACTAACTTCCAAGCAAAACTTTACTCCTCCTGGTCGTGGACGTCTTCTGGAATCATCTGTTCTACACCTTTGAGTTCTACAAATATTATGAACTCCTTCAGAATACTTGAATTTTAAATTTTAAGTTCTTTAAGTGGCCAGCTGATTGCAGGTGGGGCAGTCTGAATGACACCAGGAGAATGGAGTATATGAGCAGTAACATCAATGAGGCATTAAAATGTTATGTATATGTTCAGAGTATTTAATAGTGG